CCCCGCCCCTCCCCAGCCCTCCCCCAAACCCTGGCTCAGTACCTGCCCGGCACAGCGCCGCTCCGGCTTGCTCCACTCTGCCCGTCCCCCCTTTCGACCTTGCCTTTTGCCCTGTTTCCTCCTCCACTTCGCCCTCTTCCGCCCGTTATCTTTCCTCACCCTGTTTCCTTCCCCGCTTCGCCCTCTTCCGCCCGTTATCTTTTCGTCCTTTTTCCTCCCTCGCTTCGCCTACTTCACACCCTTCTACCTTTTCGCGCTGTTTAGTCCCCCGCTTCGCTCTCTTTCGCCAGCTACCTTTTCGCCCTGCTTCTTCCCTGCTTTGCCCCCTTCCACCCGTCCTTTTCGCGTTTTTCCTCCCCCGCTTCACCCTCTTCCGCCCGTTACATTTCACCCTGTTTCCTTCCACGTTTTGCCGCCCTCCGTCCCCCCCATCTGCCCGTCTCGCCCGGTCCTCTCCCCTATCCGTCCCGCCCTTCAAACCCGACCCGCTCTCCCCGTCCCGGCCCGCTCCTCGACCCACTCCACCCCGTCTTGCTCTGGCAACGCCCCCACCCGGTCCCTCGCCCCTCCCCGTCCTGTCCCCGCCTCGACCGCGCCCCTTCCCCGTGTCGGTCGACGGCCCAAAGCACCTGTCGCGCCGGACGCGCTCCCGCGGGAATCAATGCGCGTCCCTCGACTACCGGAACCTAGCGAGGGGCACGGGGTGGGCGGGGGCGAGGGCCGAGGGCGGAAGCTGCCGGGGAATCAAGGGAGGGCGATTCCGAACTTCATGTCGGATAGTGGTGCTCGTTGTAGTTTGGAACCTGTACGAGTAGAACGAGTAGAAACTGATTTTACTCGAGCCTTCAGAGGAGGCTGGAGTCATTCTGGTTCGTCCACGAAGAGAGGATTTTCTGGTTCCGCCTCTAATGTGTATTGTTCCGTCACTCAAGGCATTTGTAGCAAGTGTTCTCTTCACATGTCAGAGTAACAATAATAGTTTTCTTCCTCCCTTGATCTTCAATTTTACTTTCTCGGATACGTACACACATACGGAGAAATTACGTAGTATAGAGAAAGGTATTAATGCTCCAGACAATCGATTTCGAGATTTCAAGGAAATAAATGTTTTGGGGTTCCTTAATGTCGAAAAAGTGTTTTTTAACGTCCGTTCCTCGGTCGGTGTACACCACTAGCGTCTAAACAAACCTTTTTTGAAAATGAATTTTATTCCAAAATGGATCTGGCTCGATTAGATTTGCGATTTTAAAAACTATTCTTGAAAATTTTGAGGATACTTTATAGAAAATTCCTGGACATTTACAAAATTTTTCTGAAAAT